GGGGGGTGGGGGGGGGGGGGGGGGGGGGCCTTTGGCAGCGCGTTGTAGGGGTGAAGGGATAACAAAAAAGTCCCGAACTAATGCCCGGCTGCCTGGCCTGCCCCTGCTGCCTCTGGGGCCATCCCCCCCCCGGCTCCTGCCATGCAGCGCCACGCCGAGAAACGTCCTTTGCGGGAGAGGCGAGAGCAGGGCTCGGTTCGTGGCGACTTGTTGCCATAAAACCAAAGATCAGGCGCCCAGACCGGCAGGACCAGGCGTTCCCCAGCCTGATCAGCTGGCGGGGCGCAGCAAACGAAAAGTAGCCGCCCGCCCTGCTCGGGGAGGAACGGACGCCTTTTTTGGGGGGGTTAGCAGCGGATTGGACAACTCCCGCCCGAAACCGACCAACCCCCCCCCCCGCCGGGGTTTGAACCCGCCCCAGCAGCGCCGAAACGAGCGTCCTTCGCTGTGCCCGGGCACCTGGCCGTTCCCACCGCAAGGGACAGATCCTCAGATGGCATCGGGGTCCTCGCTCGGCTTGTGCCGGGGCTGGGCCTCGCCTGGAAGGAGCCCGCGTCGGATCCGCCAGCCAGTCCCCACGGCTGTTAGTGATCGTAATCCGGAGGCGTTAGGAGACACGCGGGGCGGGCAGGGCACGAAATCACAAGCGCCGAGAGCTGCGTCTTGGAGGACGCGGCGCACCCAACATTGGGCAGGAGACTTTGAAGACCCACCTGGCCGGTACGTTCGACATCGGCTCGCCCCGGGGCGAGCAAACACGGAATAGGCTGGGATGTAAAGACGGGGAGTTACTCTCTGGAGTGGGTCAGAACCGGCCAGATTTTGCCGGGAGAAATAAAGAGGGCAGATTTGGATGAACACGCAGGTCTTTTTAAATGAATTGTTTAACAAAAAAAATCACAAAAATATCGATCCCATGTTTAGACCAGCTTGAAAGCTGGCTGACAATTTCCAAATCTTGACCAAAAAAAAAGCCATTGAAATATCAATATTTACCTCACTATTCCCCCCCCCCCCCAACATGACCATTTTCCCATCATCTCTCTTAATATCCTTGTTTACCTAAACCAAGTACTGGGGACCAGGGAGCAGAGAGTGACAGAAACCACCCCAGGAACAAGGTGCGGGACACAAGTCCCAAGAGGAAGAGCCAGATAATTCACATATAAGTAGGAAGCCAGCCCCAGTGATCCAGGAGGTTCAGGAGTTCACGTGGGAAGTTACAAAAGATGCATATGTGTTTTTATCGTAGGTATTTATTTCATGTTCATTGCTCGTGGGGTTCTTTAATCAGGACATTAACTATAATAATAGCTCTGTATCACTTTTCATCTATGACAAGAATCAGAGGGGTAGCCCTGTTAGTCTGAATCTGCATAAACCATGAAAGCATAAGCTTTCGCTCCAATAAATCTGTTAATCTATAAGGTGCCACCGGACGTCTTATTTTTCATCTATGGGTCACCAGATGTTTTACAAAGGGAAAGAAGAACCATCTCAATGTGCAGGTGGGGAAACTGAGGCACAGAGCAATTATGCAACTTCCCCCAGGCAACGGGGCAAGTGGCAGAGCTGACACTTAATTTCTAGTGGGCAGATCCCTCAACGGGGTCCCAATCCTGATGACTCCCAACATGCAACATCCAACTTCCATGAGTCCAGGGGTCAGGTGGCAACCACCAATTCAACAAAAATAGCGTGTGGTGACAATGGCAGTTAAATGAAGTGGAGGAAGGAAAAGGGAGCCCTGGATGTTAAAAAGAAACAAGAGAAATCACTCCAGTGGTTGCACAAGAGAGTTTGGAGATGTTTCATTGCTGGAGAGCTTCTGTGTGTGGTTACACTGGTCCCCATTATGAGAGTAAGCACACCACACTTCCCCAGTTCCCTTTTAATTCAGGGGGAGGGAGAGAGGAAGGTGACAAGGGGTGAAGTTAATTCCTGAAGAAAAATCATTGACCTTTAGTGCAGTTAAATACCAAAGGTGAATTTGGTCCACCTGATTTAAAAAGAGTAGGGAGAAAATGCAGAGAATTTCTACACAAGGAACCTAGGGCATTATATATGTGGGGTTCTCAAACTGGAGGTTGTGAGTGACCCCTCAGAGGGCTGGGAGATTATTACATGGCGGGTTGCAAGCTATTAGCTTCCATCCCAAACCCCACTTCATCTCCAGCATCCATCACAGTGCTAAATATTTAAAAGGTGTTTAATTTGTCAAGGGTGTCACATTCAGAGGCTTGCGGTGTGAAAAGAGTCATCAATGCAAAAGTCTGAGAACCACTTGCGAGTTAGCTAGTGGAATATCGGCATAGAAGAGGTCGCCACATGTTGACCTTTTCCTGTGACATAATAGACAATATAACAAGGAAGAACAAAATGCCAAAGATAGTGGGAGGAAAATGCCCCAAAGAGTTTCTTCATTGTAGAAGACAATAGAGACATGCAACATCATTTCTATCAATATTATTAATACTTATGCGCTAGCACCCGCTATGTGGGAGGTTACTATCAGCGATAGATTATGTTGGTGAATTGCAGAAATCAATGCAGCAGATCCACACCTACTTAGTGACATCCCGGGATTGCAGATGGGGAACATCTCAAAAGCTATGTGTGTGTGTGTGCATGTGTGTTTTGGGATTCCTATGGGACATGGCTCTGAAAGATGCAGGGAGATGGCCTTTATGTTAATTCCGTAGCATGCATCCACTAAACTGGTACGAAATCAGACTATTCCAGATGAGTTCAGCTGGATAAAGTCTAGGAGAAGGGCTGGGCAGGAGAAGGAAAAGCCTGTGTGTGCAGGCAGTTAAGGAGAGATGGATTAGATGCATAAACAAACCAGCAGGAACTACTAAGAGGGCAAGGGGGAGATGACAAACCGAGTCTGGGAGAACCCCTTCTATGGAAGGAGGAAAGAGCTAGTCTGCAAAAGAACTCGCTCAGTGGCTCTGGAATTGTCTCATCAGGGAAAAATACACATGAAACAGGTGGTAGCTGAGGGAGGGAGAGGGCAGGAGAGGAGGAAGGGTATGGAGTCAAGTGGCGGCCAAGCATAAGAGATCTTAAAGTTTAATAAATGTTGAGTATTCACAGGTATATGGGTTTTCCCCAGCATGTATTCCTTATTTTCCTCAAAGTGAACACAGGATTAATGGGTACACACTTCTGCTTTCTGCATTGATCTCCTTCCGTGGCCCTGTGAGGCAGATCAGTGTCATGAGCCTGATGTTTCAGATGGGGAAACTGAGGCACAGAACGATCCAGTGACTCTCCCAGGCTTGC